ATCTATCTATCTATCTATCTATCTATCTATCTATCTATCTATCTATCGTTGACAGAGACAAAAGTCTGTAATAAAACTGATGAAGAGACAGGACAACAAAGAAGAAGAAGAAAGTCTTGATAATAGACAACCCAAAAATATGACAGAAGCCCCCGTGGTCAGATGAGACTACAGTTGAATTTTTTGGCCACCATGAAAAAAACACCACAAGCATAAACCTCAAAGCCTTTCATCACATTAAGAGCCGGACAGAATTGAGTAACTTATAGATGATACCAAACGCAGGCTTTTCTTCTTAACCTAAAGCTGTGTCGTTTAAACATATTTTAGATGTGTTACTTGTTGATACCCAGACTGAAATCCACAGCGACAGCAGTAAGCAGGATGCAGAAGAAAAAAACAACTAATTGTATTATTATTGTATATTGTATTTTCCAGACTATCAATCAAACTTTTTTTAAAACGTGTTTTGGATGGGGGTGCGACCTATAATCCTGAGAAATTTCTAAATGAAAAATATACTGGTAGATTCTCAATCATATTACAGTAAGAAAACATATTTACGTCGCTATGTTTTAAAATGGCCATCGGAAACGGAAATGCAATGCATCATGGGTACTGTAGTTTGACAAATCTATTATCTGAAATTTTCATGTTAATTTAACATACCTGTGAGTCCATGCAACTTATAGTCTGGAAAATGTGGTATTGGCCAATTATGGTTAATGCTTCCATGTAAAGTTGTATTCTCTTTTCCCCTTTCAAATCCTCTTTGCCAGAGAGAAACCATTCTTAGACAGCTCGAGTTAAGAGTGATTCTAGCCAGTCACATTTTATAGAGAATAAAAATCACTGACTGAAAAGCACACCATTCAGTAGATACGGCAACGGTATCAAATCTTGCTAATAATTAAACTTAACATATAGAACTATGTTCAAATAAATAATAGTATGGTAGGCCTTATGTAGTTTATTCCTGAAAAGAAAAGTTTTCATTTTGAGTTTGACAAAATTTTGAAAATGGTTAGATAATTGCCTCCTTAACCCCATAGTAATATATGTATCAGATTCAATAAATGTGGTTTCTCAAATATTTTGTATACGAGACCTTTATCATATTTAGTTTAGATTTTTTAAAACCATTTTTACCATCATTTGGTGATAAAAATTCTATTGTGCACAATCAGATATACCTGATAACAGCAGGCAGAAGACTATAGACAATAATCTTAGCTTATTGCATAGTAATAAATGATAAATATTCAAAAATGATTTTGTTAAAGGGCCAAATACAGACTTCAGACTAAAAAAATCATTTTAAAATGTGGCTCTATTTTTTATTGGATCACCTTTTATTGGGGTTAAAGCTCATTCTTGACTTTTTACCTTCCCAAACAAGAGTTTAATGAAGACAGTTCTTTAAAGAAATAAAATAAAACACTTACATCTGTGGCATAGAGGATGTCAATAATCCTCTGCAGTGTGGGGTCACCTTCTCCCTCCTTCTCCTGGCAAATCAGCTCAATGTTCCTCAACTTGCCAAAATAAAAATCTCTTTCCTTCTCCATGTCCTGAATGGTGGTTTTCAGGATCTCCATCTGTTTAGAGACGAGAACAACTCAATTCATTGTTTAAAAATCACATTGGCACTTCGTAAACCCCAAGAATAAATTCTGCTCAATTGGCAATAATCCCACTTATTATCATGCACAAAACCATTTTTTTCTGACAGTGCTGTGCTGACCTCATTTATGAGCTCTGCCCTCTCATCTCCAACACCCATCCCCGGCTTCCTCGCATTGACAGAGGCCAACTTAGGTGCTACCTTTGCAACTGGAGGCCTCGGTGGAGCTGAAGAGATAGAAGAAAAAAGTCACTTTTTAATTTAAATATACTCTTTTCCAAAGAAGCTGTGAACCCATCAGACTAAACGTACTGACTTTGACTCAGGGCTTTCTTGGGGGGCTTGCTGAGGGCCGAGGTGGCGGGGCTGGGTATGGCGTCCTGCCCCTGTCTCGCCTCCACGGGGTCGTACTCCTTTCCGTCGTAGTTGGCGTCAAAGAACTTCTTAAACCACTGGACAAACTCAAAGTTGTCCTGGAACTTCCCCTTAACCAGCTTGTCTACTGGAATGATCTGCGGCAGAACAGAGATTTTGCGTTCGGGGAGGTTAGTAGTCGTAACCAAAGCTCTGAAACGTTTTGTGGGTCAACCACCCCCCAGGATGATTCTATCCAATCAGACACCTCAGTGAATCCAAAGGTTCACTCATTTCGCTTTTCTAATATCCATCAGACATATTAGTTGATCCAATGTACAGTTATGACATACACGGCTTAACTTGCAGGCGATATAGAAATTCCACCCACAGTTGCCATTTAGGGGGACTTATTTACCAGAGTTTGCTTCTTATATAAAGAGCAGCCTTTGAGGTTTGGGGTGGGGGTGACTGATTAACTATCAGTTGAAGTCCGGAAACTACAAACACTTTGTAAAGCATATTGCATCACTTCAAGTGTTTGCAAGCGCCTAGCATGTGCTTTGTATAAGTGCAAGGTTCCTTAAGTCAAACTGGGTAAGTTGACATTGTAAGAAAACCAATGAAGAAAAATGAGCTCTCTTGTGTTGCCAATTTACTAAAGCAAGCCTGCGCTTATTCTGAATCATGTCTGATAGCAGATATGCACATGCAATGACTACCGTTTTAGAATCAGTGCTGAATTTACAGAGTTTTCTTATCTTATCTGTGTTCCACAGATCAACAACACAATAAACGTGTGATCTTAATAAGTCTAAACCCAGATAAATGGTAAGTTTTGGCCCAAACTTGGGGGGGGGGGTGGCCGAGGAGAAAAAAAAGTTCATCTAAAGTCCTGCCGGTCTTTAAACAAGATGGATTCATTATTCATGAGCCATGTTAATCCTGATCAGCAGGTGCTTATGGACTAAATCTAATGCGATGCCTTGTACAAAACAAATGGAAAGGTTTCGCCATGACACAAACACTGACGGTAAAACCAGATGGAATTCAGTATGCCATCGCTTTCTTAGCCCACTCACATCTGCATATGGCAGAGAAACTGATTTGCCATTTACAGGTATTGTAGTTTTGTTTTTTAATTCATGAACATATTTGGTTTTAATTGCCACATTGTGGCCTCCCTTTCGGAAGGTGTGGCAAAGGGTTAAGCGGGTTGGTGGTTCAAGCTCCGGTGGCATATCGAGGTGTATTTAGGCAGGACGTCAAACCCCTGGTGTCCGCTCCCAAGTCCAGATGGATAAATGTGAGGGCTGCGTCAGGAAGGGCATCTGGTGTAATAACTCCTGCCAAAACCATGGCGACCCCCGACGGGAAAAGCTCAAAGGCAGCAACATTATGACCTCTATTGAAACACCTCGTGTGTATTCTGAATTTCTGCACAGAGCAGGCTGACAAAGTCTTTCCATAAAAACTAAAAACAGAAAGAACACAAATATGCCGGTCTCATATGTCTACAAATCAGCCCTGGGGGTGCGCTAGCTTCCGCTAGGGGGGTGAATGTGGTGTAAAATGTAATGGCATCTGATAATTACACCATTAGTGTTCTATCCCCACACAAAACAATGTAATTAAACATTTCCTTTGTAAAAATTCAATTTAAAAAACGTAATTTCAATAAATTAAAATGCATCCGATTGACTAATTTCTAGTCAGAATATCCGATTACACACTTAATAATAGACACAACTGCCAAACAGGTACCATTCCAGCAAGAAACGGGGACTTGTTTTAATAAAATAAATCCAAAATATCTTGTTAGGTAAAAAAGCCTTTCAACACATCTTGTTTTCAGTCATATGAAACAAGCTTTTTTGATCTTTCGACTTACTTTGTCGACTCCCATCTTTTTAAAACCCACTTGCAGGAGCTTGTAGTTGTGGATGTATTCGTGCTCCAGTTTGGCACCGAATTTGACTTTCTTCAGAGGCACAGAGTTGGGGAACAGCATGTCCATGAACTGGCAGTAGGCAGCACCTGGATATGATGGGACACACACAGCAACCTGAGTGAGAGGCGGTGCAGGCCTAAAGTCTCTATGGACAGTTTACTGAGGGTCAGCTAAATGGATATGCCAAAAAAATAAAAAAAAAAAAAAAAAAAAAAAACTCCTTTTTTTTTTTGTAAAGAACCATCAAATTTGAGCAGTGACAGAAGCTTTCTTGACATCAATTCTGCTGTTTGGTTCTTCATTTTCAATATATATGCACACACCAAAATAAATAAATAAAATGTATATACACACACACTATAGATAGATTCCACGTATAAGATAGATAGATAGACAGACAAATAGATATTCCTGAATAGTAAAACTAAATCATTGAATTTCTTTTGTGTTTTCATTGGTCAAAACTCCCCACCTGTGCACAGCATTTCGATCTTGGTGAGGTTCATCTGTAGCGACTCATTGATCCAAACCAGCATGTCGTGCCGACTTAGGTTGTCGCTGGTTACAGAGGTGGCGTATACGTTCACAGCCATTGCCGGTCACCTGCTGACGAGAAGAGAGAAGCTTGGACCCGACGCGTACGTGATCACGATGCAACATCAAAGACAAAATGTGAAGCAAAGAGCCTGTTGTTATCGTTGTTATTACCATCAAACATGACATTTGGGTATCTGGCATATCAATCCAATGTGCACCAATATCCTCATACAAGATCAAAGTTAGTCTAAGGACAGATTTAAGTGTCTTCATTTCAGGTAGCATGGTTTATAACTGGACCTCACCATCTGATATGCTCACTATAAAATTTGTAGAGTATTAATACAACAGTAATTGTCCGACATTGAATGCAACAACCACCGTTAGAGTACCAATTCATAATAAAAACGTCACGGTAACCACACCATTTGGGATATTTTCAGAGATATCAGAACTAGAACGAGGCCTCTGGCATTTCCTCGGTTGCACACAATCAAGATATTCATTTTTTGAAAGATCTTTTGTGAGATTACTTCTTAAAATGACGAGATAGTGAATAAAATAAACGATTGAAATTGAGGAACATATTTTACATAGACGGTGTATTCCTAAATCTTTTTGGTTTACAAGTGGTCAGCATCTTAGAATGTCATAGCTGTACTTTACTGTAAAGACCACTTAACCAGGATTTGACCATTTATTACCAGGATACAGACTTAAGATATGGTCAGACCACAGACAACCATTTTTATTTATAAAACTATCAAATATTTGCATCATAACGGCATAAATCCTCATAGCTCTCATATGACCGAATGAAACTTGATTTATTTACTGTTAGGTCGTGGGATTTCCTTAAACTAGGCAGAGACTGCTGAACATTTCCCACCATTCTTGGGTTTAGTTTCACTTCCACACTTTTGACAGCAGCCAGTTTGTTAAAGAAACCAAATCTGCGCTGTCTTTTGTTTTTCAGGACTAAAAGCTTGTGAAATTCTCTGTAAAGGGCTGTCCTGTATGAAAAGCAGGTGTGGCTGTGGTGCTCTGTACAGCAATACATCATCAGTGACAAAGACAGAGAGAGAGAACACTACCATTAACTCTATGTGTCATGTCCCACTGTTAGCTTACAAAACAAACGCATACCCACGTTTTAAGGCCCATTTAGGCTACTTTGCTAGTCAACGCCAAGGTTTGGAGCAGCAGCCCAAACAAAGCTGCTATCAGAGGAACTCATTCTACTGCATTAAACGTTGAACAAGGAATGGCCCTTAGCAGACAAGCTAAGGGTTGGGTTTTTAGTCAGGATAAACCAGCTGCTCTGCTCTCTGGACAGTTGGGTGTAACGATAATTTGGCCCGCGACCGATTTTTTTTTCCGGCTTAAACCGCAACCGGACGCAGGCAGTTTGAAGCAGAAATTGCTCTTTTTAATCCCCGGTTTAAAGTTTTCGCTGGCCATTTCGAAATGGGAAGCACCACTGTAACAAAAGCTAAAAAAAACGCGTTTTGAAACGGCTTCGTGAAGACGAAATGTTCTGTTTTCATACATTTCTTAATTGTCGCGTGCGCGCAGTTGCTCAAGAAGTTCTTTTTAAACAAAAGCAAACGGCTAGCTGCCTTCAGTTGACATGAGCTTTATTTGATTTATTTTTGCACATCTTACATTAATTATATTGGTTATAACTAAGCACAAAAATACCACCACACTCGGTATGAGAGCTACCGTTAGCTGCATCCAAAATAGAGGCGTTTTAGACATTTAAGCTAACGTTAGCCTGTCGTCTCAAAACACAATAAACATAATAACGAGTAACTTGGTCGTTGCTTTCGCGTTCTAGACTTCTTTGTAAACAAAATTGTGGCTGTACGAAAGCCATGTCTGTGTCAATAGCCAAATGAGACCGGCCTGATGAAACGTAGGTCCTGTCGCCGACATCGAGCTAGTTCCCCCGCCCTAATCATTACGGAGCACCATCCTTGTTAGCATCAGTTAGCGTGTAGCCACCAACAAGTTTGAAAAAAGAAATCTGAAAGGGACCTCAAAGGGCAGTGTCATTCGGATATGAAAAAAGGAACAACAAAAGAGAACCATAGGTATATATACATACGTTTCGGACGGTTAAGATTGTTAATAATAAAATGTTCTATTTAGCTGCCAGCTAGCATCTTAGCTGAGTACCTCAAGTAGTTGTCGTTTCACATGATGGCAAATGACTGCCGTTATGCACGTTAGCCTACCTTGAAAAGATAAGCCCTCAGTTTTCAGACACAGTTATTTGACTTTTTCGGCTATGGATGCGTATCCTATAGCGTAACGCACTTCTGTTTGTTAAATCGTTGCTGCTACTTCTGCTTTTTTTCCCCTGTCCTCTCCGTGCTTCTTGGAACCTCTCAGACTCTGCCGGCTACGGAGAAAAAAACGTACTGATGACGCCACAGCTCAGCGACCAATCGGAGCCCCTTCGCTTTGAACCGGGAGCGCTGGGTTGACGTCATCCGGTTGGGTCGCTTGGACGCCATATTGCATTGGCGCTTGCTGAAGGCCAACTTTTAAATGTACAGTCTCTGGTTCAGACTGGTACCATATAATCACCCACTGCAATCAGATTACTTCATTGATAAATTAGTAAACCCATCTGCCCACTGCAAGTAAAAGAGAAAATAAAGGAAAAAAAAATATTATTATTACTTTTGGTGTATTGTTATCAAGCTATAACCAATTGTATTCCTTGTATGGTGAGTCTCCACTTGTCAGGTCTTTACTCAGACTCAATTAATAAAGCCAGGAATTCCTTTTTCATGAGAGTTGTTGAGTGAATCTACCGTTTTTGATGCTGAGATTGCTATTCGGTGGTCTGAGAATAAACCTGAGATATAATCAGAGGAAGTGTAATTTACTCATGTCACGGGTAAAGTAATTCCCTATTACCGGGTGTGATGTGCAGTTATTTTCTCGGTGTGTACAGTGGAATGCTCTTAATTGAAAGTCTGTTGGCGTATTCATTGCCAGTGAACAACATACTTAAAGAAAGATATTAACGGCAGCTAAAAAATACAAAAATATGCTCCAAATTCTGCTATCCATTATATTCCGTAACAGTAGGGGGCGATAGCGTGCACTTCTCTGCATGTAAGACATTAAAACCAACGATAAGAAGAGTATTTACGTAAACTGCGTAAGTAAGCACTGATACGCCACATGGACAGAGAAAATACAACGTATTTGTTTGTATTTGATGATGAATACATTTTGATCATTAAAAAATTTACGAGATTAAAGTCGTTATTAAATATTGCAAGACGTCCTCCTGGTTCTTTCTGCAGAAAATGTGCATTTTCTACCATTTTTTTAAACGTCCTGATACGTATGACAATTTGACGCTGATGTTCCAAAAGATTAAACATTTCCTTGTTTCCTAAATTAAATTTATACTAAATACCCCACAGCCCTCTTGTTTTGATCAACTCTCGTCTTCTAAAACAGGACAAAATATTTATGACTTTATTCTTGTAATTTATTCTCGCCATATTTAATAACGACTTAAATCTTTTTTTTAAAATGTTATTAAATGTGGCCCCAATGCTCTATCGTATTAAAAAAATCGTCAAACCATTAATAAATTATTCCGAGTGCTTTGTTGGGCGGGGGTTTAAAACAGTTTCTAGTATTTTATATTTCTGCCTCCTCTTTATTAAATTCAGCTCTCATTTAACATAATGTGTGACCCTCAACTGTTATTTTTCACTTTCATTACTTATTCACAAAACATACCAATCCCCTTCTACAACCATCATACAATTTTTTAAATGATTAATGTGATAAATGCCACCTAGATGATGCACTGAGAGTGAGATTTTGGGATGCTTCCCCAGTGACAGTTTTTTAAATTGGTGTGCACAGACTGCTACTACCCATCTTATAGAACTCTTATAGAACTGCTAAGTCCAGTTTAGGGCCATTGCTGTGCTTAATCAATCACCAATGAACTCCACATGCATTTTCCGGATGGGAGGAGGAAGCCTGAGTAGCTGGAGGACCTTCCTCTGGATGCGAGGCGTAATTTGCCTACCAAATTAATTCAATTTCGGCGTCGTTTCGATTCATACTGAGGCCCTCTGGCAGAACTTAACTCAGGGGGGGATTCTGTTTGCTGGCATCCAGGCAGACGGTGTCACATCTGGCTGCAGTGATGGAAGCAAAGGGGTCCAGTGACATGTTTGGTCCATCCTCAGGCCTCCAGTGCTGAGCCGGTGGAGGTCTGTCTTTGCTTTCCTGGTGTTGCAGGAGGGGGAATGAAGTGGAACCACTCACTCCTCACTATTGGGTGTTATTGGCTGCTTTGGTCTGAAAGAAGGGGGGCGTCTGGACAAGTGGTTGCTGTTGGATGAGTGGAAAACGTCTTCACCAGTAACAAAGAAAGCAATTGCTTAGACATAATTTTTAAATCTTCCCAAAAAATTGGATGTGGGATGGACCAATGCGAAAATACTCTTTCTTTCTCCGTCTTCTGAGCTGCTCAGAAAGATGCTTTTTCAACTACAAGTCCAAAATGACCAGCCTGTGGAATGAGTGTGAGACAGACGAGCGTTTGCATGTAATAAAGACCAAAAGAAAGACATGTTTGTGGCTCGCTATGAGTTAAGTTTGGCAGCTTTTAAAAGGTTAGTCTGCGTTCTAACTCTTAAAATGAAACATCCATTTAAATCCCAGCATCTCAAACATCAGTGAGGAGGATCATTTAGGTGCTTTTCTAAAGCAGGAAGTAGAAAATGGTTTTCCAGCTCTCAGTCGACTTGTTTCAAAACGTCGGCATAAAGTTTCCCTTCGTTTCTGGAATGGATGCTGGAACAAAGCTCATTTCTAGGAAATGAAGCCTTATTCTGGAGAAAAACCAGTAATAGGAGACAATAAAAGTGTTGTTTAACACAAGACAACATTCCATGCTCCAAAAAAATGTAGGGAATCTTCTACAACTTTGGAGTATCTATTATTGAGGTTATGTTTAAAAATACAAAATGCAATGTCTCTATAAACATATTTTCAAAGTAAAAGCATCACAGTAAGTCTCAATACAAATACAAATATAAATCAATATTTTAGGCAGCAACAATAAAAAGTTTAAACATTTTTTAACATGTACAAATATTACCACTGTACACAAATTTCACTTGTGACAAAAATCTGCTTTATCCAAATCTTTAATGACAGCTGCTACCAAAACTGTCAACAGTTTAGGTTCATTATGCAAATTGTGAAAAATTTAGGCAAAAATAAAGATAAAAAAATACTTTAGGGAGCAAAAACAAATCCCAAAAAATTTAAATAAATGGTGCTGTCGGGTAAATGGCTGACATTGGGGGTAACATATGGGGAACATTTTTACTAAATCCCATTTTTATTTGACTGAACAAGCAGGGATGGCAGGATCCCCACAATGTCTCATCCTGTTGTGGAAAAAATAATAAAAGATCTTAAATCCACACAGTGTTGTCAAACTTAAAATATTTTTTTATCTGGTAAAAAAAAAAAGAAAAAAAGAAGCAAGATTCAAATATCAGATAAAAACACATGACGGTATAATACAATTATTTTACAAATAAAATGGTTTACTGAAAATATGATTCAGCTTAATATTTCATATGCAAACCTAATGAATTAGTTAGAGAATGATGGAAATGAAGCTGTGTGCATTTGAAGGGATTTCAGATTCTTTACATGCGTGTGAAGCACTCGGGGGGGAAAAATATAAAGTTACTTTGAAAAAGTACTCTGAATCACCTGAGTCACCTGCTGGGATTATAAGAATTCTTCCATTCAACTGTGATCAAAAGTCCATGTTTGTACTGACCTCCCAAAAGTCTGGAACTGGTTGCAGGCACCAAAATGGCCCCCAGTTGAAACCCCCGGGCCTCTGCTATTCCCGGGGCTGCGTGTCTGGAGAGGCTGCGGCTGTGGGGGTGCTGGAGGGGGGGCCGGAGGTGATGGTTCCGGGCGTGGTCGCAGGCGGAAGCTCCACGCAGGCAAAGTAGTCCTTGAGGGGGGCCAGGAGGTGGCGGACCACCGGCACGCTCCAGGACTTGGCCAGCGCGTTCTGCCGCTGCTGCCTGTTCATGTTCCGGACGTCCGTGTAATGTTTGGGGAAACCGAAAATTCTGGCGGAGAGAAAGCATGAATGATTCCAGAGTAGAGGCGTGTCTGATGCATGGAAGTACGAGTGTTAGGGTCTGGGTTGCTTTAGGGCTCAAAGGGAAGGTACGGATAAATTTGAAGTAAAAATTCAAAAGTTTTTAGTACTAATTACTAAATATGATACAAAAAAACCCCAAAACAATCAACCATTACAAATTCAAAATATTCACAATGAGATGAGATATGTTAGATATGTTAGATCTCACTTAAAGGAAAGATACTGATCAATTTCAAATAAAAATCTAGTTTCAGCACAAGTTTCTGGTACTAATTACTAAATATGAGGCAAAACCCCCCGAAAACAATCAACCATTACAAATTCTAAATATTCAAAAAGAGAAAAATTATACAATGACAAAACCAAACAAATGGCTGTGAACTGTTTTGAACACGTGTCTCAGCTGGCAGAGCATCCAGACAGGCAACATATTCCCTTCCCATTAAACTGAATATTCAAATCTCCATTTCCATTTCGATAGGGAACTGACATGCATAATAGAAAAGGGATGTCCGAGGAATTGACTTTGATGAGCACCATCCAGAGCAGAAGCTGAACTTTTTTGCCTCCATACGCATTGCTTTAAAGATCTAATGAACAAATGATGGAACTCCAGCTAATTCCCCACCAAAACTGCGACCAAACTAGCTCTGACAAACACTGAATCACAAATTCTCTTCTATAAAAGGTCCATTTGGTCTGCTATCGTATGATGGTAGTGGTTAAAGAAGAAGGTCAGTGTCCTGAGGTGGGACTTTACTGGGACCAGGGTAAGAGAGCCATGGTTCCAAAAGACCCTTATCTTTTTATATTAGTGATGTACGCAAAGTATGAGTTTACAAAGAGCGAGCGAGTAATGCTAAATATGCAGGTTTTTTTTACAAAACAAAAGAACACCTTTAATATTTAAAAGTAAAAAAAGTAATGTCAAGATTTAGAAAGGGAAACTTGTTTGGGGACTATCCAAATGCTTTGTGGATGAATTTGAATAACAGCAGATCCTGAAGACGAATCTGTTACTGCAAACCAGTGGATGATTAGTTTTTATTTGTAAATCCCTCATTTATATCTGGGAAGGTTGGCCAAATTTCTTGGTTTTAAAACTAATTTTCCACTTCGAAATCTGTTCCTTTTGAAAAAATATTTGTTATTTTTGCGTTTCTGTCCATATGTATTGATTATATGTCCAGTTTTGTATGATACGATTTCGCCAACAAGTTTGTTTTTTTAGCAAATGCTGACATACAGCTGAAATTGTCTAATACTTGTTGCACATAAAATAATAAGCACATTAATGTTTGATAAAAATCAGTGTTTGCCTTAAATCTTACACACCATTACTAAATCTCAAGACTAAGATGAAACCATTTGAACTGCTATGCACAAAGTAAAATGGTTACTAGCAGTAGCATTCTGATCAGACAGCTTGAGAAAATATCGCCATGAATGCTCAGCGAAAACCCATTTCCATGCATTAAACACATACTGCTGCAGTTGAGGCGGATTTAAACCTGTCACTGGCATTTTTTGTGTATTGTGCACCTTTGAGCGTGTTGAAATTCCCTGCTGAAACCTACTTTTCTATTTCGGTAATCCAAAGTTTGTCCCCTCTTCCGTTCTCGGTGACGGGGAGCTGAGACATGCCTTTGCCCTGCTTCAGAGAGTTGAGGTTGCTGGTAATGGTTCTGACCTTGGTCACCTAGAACACAACCAGAACGCATAAAGCAATGATTCTCTATGAGAGCCACACTCATTTTATACGTATAAAACACACCCACACACACATATATATATGTGGTATAAATATAGCAGCAGGCTATCGCTCACCGTTGCTTCTCTACCAATCTCCAAACAGTCCTGCAGCCTCAACTTGTCCTTTTGAGAAGGTATAATTGGCCTGGTGAGAAGAAAACAGGGAGAGAAAAAAGTAAGTTATGGGATAAACCAATTAAAAAAGAGATAAAAAAGACCAAAAACATCCGTGGCATGTGAAAGGCTGGTGAT